GTGGGTCGCGGGTGGGTCGCGGGGTGGGTCGTGGGGTGGGTCGCGGGTGGGTCGCAGGTGGGTCGCGGGATGGGTCGCAGGGTGGGTCGCGGGGTGGGTCGCGGGGTGGGGGTCGCGGGTGGGTCGCGGGTGGGTCGCGGGTGGGTCGCGGGATGGGTCGCGGGTGGGTCGCGGGGCGGGTTGCGGGTGGGACGACGACAACAAACAACAACAAACAACAACAACAACAAACAACAACAACAAACAACAACAACAACGATAATCCGCACCGCGGGATCCCACTTCAGCCACGCACCCAGGGACAATGAATGACCGTTCGGCCCACCCAGTCTGATACATACATATATATATATACATATATAGTTGTTCTCTCGATGTCTATTTCTCTCTCTCTCTCTCTCTCTCTTTCCCTTTTTTTATACATACGCTTACTTATGTGTGTACATACATACATACATACACACACATATATATATATATATATATATATATACGTACATGTGTATATACGTAAATACGTATAGACGTATACATGTATATTTGTATACGTGTATGTATACGTTTATGTGTATGTTTAGGTATATGAATATAATGTGTATATACACATATATATATACATATGCATTTTTATATATGTATATATACTATGTATACGTATATGTACATGTACCGGTATATGCATATATGTATGTGTAAATGTGTGCATGTATGTATATGTGTATGTATGCATGTCTGTTTTTATGTATGTATGTACATATGTCTCTGTGTCTGTATGTATGCATGCATGTATGTATATCTGATTACGTATGTAAATATGTATGTCTGTATGAATGTGTGCATGTATGTATGTATGTATGTATGTATGTATGTGTATGCATATGTATGTATGTATGCATGCATGCATGCATGCATGTAGGGATGTACGTACGTACGTACGTACGAACGTATGTATGTATGCATGCATGCATGCATGCATGTATGTATGTATGTATGTATGTATGTATGTATGTATGTATGTATGTATGTATGTATGTAGGTCGGTAAATATGTATGTCTGTCTGTCTGTCTGTCTGTCTGTCTGTCTGTCTGTCTGTCTGTCTGTCTGTATGTATGTATGTATGTATGTATGTATGTATATACATATATGCATATTTCTACATTTTTATAGGGCTGGGGAGCCCACACCCCAGCGTCCCCCTCCTAAACGAATTTCGCCTCCTCGGGCCTGTCTTGCGCCTTGCTGTGGCCATCCTGGGGTCGTCTTGACGCCCCCCGAGTGAAGCGGAAGTGTTAAAGGAAGGCCGACAACATTGTTTTTTTACTACGTTTTCTCTGCTTTCCCCACTCTCCGGGCCCTGTTGCGCCAGCCTTGTGCCTCTTTGGGGCTCGTCTGGGGCCTCATGTGGGTCCGTCTTGGAGGCATCTGGACGCCTCAAGAGCCAATCGGAAGCGACAAGGCGAGAAGACCAAAAACCATGATTTTCCTACATTTGTCCATCTCTGGGCCCCCCTCTCGGGGCCGAATCTCCGGGCCTGTCTTGCGCCTCCCTGTGGCCGTCGTGGGGTCGTCTGGACGCCCCCCGAGTCAACTGGAAGTGAAAAAACGAGAAGGCCGAAAGCATTGCTTTTCTACTGCGTTTTCCCTGCTTTTCCCACTCTCGGGGCCCTGTTGCGCCAGCCTTGGACCTCTTTGGGGCTCGTCAGGGGACTCAGTTGGACACGTCTTGGAGCTGTCTCGACGCCTCAAGAGCCAATCGGAAGCGACCAGGCGAGGTGACCAAAAACCTCGCTTTTCCAATGATTTTTCTACATTTGTCCATCCTTGGGCCCCCTCCCCGGGCCGGGTTGCGCCATCTCCGGGCCCTGTTGCGCCAGCCTTGGGCCTCTTTGGGGCTCGCCAGGGGACTCAGTTGGAGACGTCTTGGAGCTGTCTGGACGCCTCAAGAGCTAATCGGAAGCGACAAGGCGAGAAGACCAAGAACCTTGCTTTTCCAATGATTTTCCTAAATTTGTCCGTCCTTGGGCCCCACTCTCCGGGCCCAGTTGCGCCAGCCTTGGGTCGCTTTGGGCCTCGTCTGGGGACTCATCTGGAATCGTCTTGGACGCACCTAGACGCCTCAAGAGACAATTGGAAGCGACAACAGGAAGCAAAAACACGAAACAGCTAAAAACATGTTTATTTTCCATGGGTTTATTCAGATTTCCGACACTCCCGGCCCAGCTGGGCCAACCGTCGGCCTTTTGCGGCCTCGAATTGTTTAGAATTGATTTCGAATCTCTGAACCCTGAAGAGCCAGCCTGTGGCCTCTGTGACGTTCCCGCAATCGTCAATGCAGTTTGGCTTCTCAGGGAGGTCTTCCGCCTCTGGAGGACTTCTCTTAGGGGGAAGGAAAATATGGAGGGAGAGGAAGAGGAGGAGGATGCTCTGCTTCATGCTGCCCCAACCAGTCGCCTGAGACTTACTCGCGCCTCTGGGCACAGAAACGCCCCGAGCTGGCCAGAGCTGGCGTTGTCAAGTCGCTTCCGCTTAGGAGATCCTGACCCACTCCGACTTGGCGGTGGCCGGCTCCACGTCCACGCGCGCGCACGCCGCCTGCTTTCGAACACACAACGAACAAGGTGCATGGCCCGAAACGCCAATGCAGTCTTGTATATGTATATATTTATATTTATATATATATATATAGAAATGCATGCACGCATCCATGGTGTATTCCAAACTTCGTAATGAAAGGGAAGGGGTCACAACCCTTCGCAGTTTTAGACCCCCCAGGCCAGCCATGAAAGGCTGGCTTTTTGCCCATACCGCCAGAACACTCCAGGGCAGCCTCCTGACCATACCACCACCAGAACACTCCAGGACAGCTCAAATGAGACCCCTCCCCAATCAGACCGCACTCATTTATAATTTCCAGAGTTTAGAGCGACGCATGTATGTACGTACGCGTGTATGTTCTCAGGTGTGTATGTATGCATGCATGTATGTATGTATATGTGCGTGAACGTGTGCGTGTGTATGTATGTATGTAACTGAACGAAAGCCGGTATGTCTGTGTGTATGTATGTTTATAATCTGCATGTGTACATGCACGCATGCATGTAGGCATGTGTGACAGTCTATATTCATATATGCATGCTTGTATGTACGTATGCATGCATGCACGCACTTATGTACACACGCACGTATGTATGCATGCATACGAATTGATTTATGTATGTACGTACGCATGAATGTACGCTCGTACATATGGAAGCATGGGCGTATGCATGCATGCACGTATGTGTGTATGCAGGTATGCATGCATGTGAGAATACGTGTGCGTATGCACGTATGTAAATGTACATTTAGGTATGTATGTATGTATGTATGTATGTATGTATGTATGTATGTATGTATGTATGTGTGTATGTATGTATGTTTGTATGCATGTATGTATGTATGTATGTATGTATGCATGCATGCATGCATGCATGCATGCATGTATGCATGTATGTATGTATGTATGTATGTATGTATGTATGTATGTATTTATGTATGTATGTATGTATGTATGTATGTCTCTATATATGTATGTATGTACGTATGCATGCACGCATGCATGTATGTATGTATGTATGTATGCATGTATGTATGTATGTATGTATGTATGTGTGTATACATCTACATCTGAATGTGTGTGTGTGTGGGTGTCTATATACATATATATATATATATATATGTATATATCGATATAGTGAGAAATATACGCACATATAACAAATCTATAGCGATACACACGCGAGCAAGTTGGGGAGGACGATGGGATGGGGGCGGTGGGAAACTAATGGAATGGAACGGACCAGCCGCGAAACTGTGAAAAGGAGGGGGGCGGTGGGAAGTCCAGTCGAGGGAGGAATGGGGCAGCGTACGTGGGGAGCATGGGCGAATAAGCGGAAGGATAAGAGAAACAGGGGAGAGGGAGGAGGGAGGGAGAGAGTGGAGGAGGGCGAAGGGAGGATGGCCAGCTAGGTGCGCTTCTCCTTTTTCTTTTTTTATTTTAATTTTTAGTAGTTAAATATTTTGTCATGTTTTTTTTACGTTTTTTTTTTTTAGTATTCTTATTCGTTTTTTTTTTCTTATGATTATAACTTATCTTTTCAAATTTCTAGTCTTCTTGCTTTTCTTTTTTTTTAGTTTCTTTTTATTTTTTATTATTTTCCTTTTAGGTGCGCTCGCGCCGTATTTGACGTCCTATCCCTCCCTCCCATCCTTTGCCATGGTGTAGATCCCCTTTCTATTCGCCCAATCGGATGTTGTAGCGTGGCATCACATTACATGGCATAGCATGGTGTTGAATATTATCGTGTAGCCCGACATAGCATGCAGTGGCGACGCCCCAAGGGCTTCGGTGACCCAGAAAATCAACGAATCGACACCGAATGAGTAATCAAGTCTGACGGTTGTTTCAGGAGGCCATTTCTTAGATTCCGGGGCCTATTCGGAAGGACCGACAACCATGCCGTGGCATGGCGTTGGAGATAAAGACGCCAGCGCTACAGCGGGAACACGATTCGGAACGAGCGGAAGCGCGGAAATGAGGCCATCGCTGCAGCGGGAGCACGATTCGGAACGAGCGGTAGCCCGAACATGAAACCAGCGTTTCGGCGAGAGCAGCATTTTGAAAAAACCAAGCGAAAATTCAACTCCCTTGAATCTGGTGTAAAAACCATTACGCGGAGGGTGGCAGAACAATCCCTGGACGCCACCAGGGGAGAGAGGAGATAATTATTGATATTGTTTAATTGTGGGGTTGAGGGGCGCGGGGGAGGAGGGGAGGAGACAACGCAAGTTTGGGGAAGGGGGAGGGGGGGATGGGAGGAGGCTGAGAAGGGGGGCGGGAGAGGAGAGGGGTGGAGAGAAGGGATACGAGGGGGAAGAGGCAACGTGGGAAAGGGTGCCCGTTCACCGCAGCCGACTTTGACTCAAAGCCAGGGCTGTGGCTGGGGCCTGTCGTGTGGTCATGGAGGCCACTGGGCGGCAGCTCCAACGGGCCGCGTCGCCTCCTCCTTCCTCCCTCTCCCTCTTCCTCGCCCTTCTCCTTCTCCCTCCTCCTTGCCCTCGTCGTTCTCCCCCTCGTTCACCTGCTTCTTCTGCTCCGTCCTCCCGCTCCTCCCGTCCTCCCCGTCCTCGTCCAAGTTTTTCCCCTCCTTGTCCTCCTTTTCTTTCTTCCCTCCGCCTCCCCCGTCTTGTTCGTCCACTTCTGCTTTCCCAAGGGCGCCCTCGAGGGCGCGAAGTAATTCGCGTTTCGCGCTTGGCGGCTTGGCTCCGACCCCTCGTCCTCCTCTTCTCCCCTGGGAGGCGGCGGCGGCGCGAGAGCGCGAAGCTCTTCGCGCTTCGCGCGTCGCACAGCGCGAGAGCGCGAAACTGGGAGCCCTCGTCTCCGCCACCGCGACACGGACGAGTAGGGTAGGTCCTCTTCGTGTCGACCAGCGACGACCCCGGCGCCAGCGTTCAACGCTGAACGCCGCCCGTGGCCCAGAATCTGTCGATGTGGAAAGGTCTGACGTTTTGGAAACGGCCGATCGTTCAGAGCTGAATGCTCCCCGCGGTGTCAGAAGCCAGCGCCGAAGTCGGCACGACACAAACCTGCCTATAGGGTGGTGCGGGCGTTCCGGCCGAGACTTTTTTTCCGTCGTCCACTCCACGGGCGAAGGGCCGCCCGGGTTGCGGGCTTCGTCGGCGCCCGGCTCCCGCCCGGGTGCAGTGCAGACCGGTCTGCCCACGCTCAAGAGCGAACGGAAGCAGCGTGGTGTGTTGAAGGTGTGAGACGCTTGCGCTCAAGTCGGGCTTTTCCCTCTACAGGAGAAATATGCAAAAAAGAACCGAAACATAGTCTGGGGGTTATTCTTCGAGCATATTGAGCATTTTGGACATTTTTTTTTTTTTTTTTTTTTTTTTTTTTTTTTTTTTTTTTTTTTTTTTTTTTTTTTTATAATATATATATATATATATATATATATATATTTCGTCGAAATTCCCCCTGCAGGGGGACACGCCCGACTTAAGGTTACGCGCATGGAACAGAGATCGCCTTCTAAACTTCGCCCTCGTGGTGCTCCTCTTCCTCTCGAGAGTCGACCTGGTCAAGTTGCGCGTCCCTCCCGCAGTACGTGAGGCTGGTGTTCGCGAAGCGCCGCTGACGGCTACACCACCGACCCTTTTTCCTCCCGGGACTTCACCACCGGGCTCCTGTCCAAGGTGTACTTTTTCCCGCACGTCCCGTTTGGCACCGCCTGATCCCCAGGCCCCGCCCGCTCCTGGCCGCGTGAGGCCACGCCTGCTCCCGCCCCCTCTCTGTCAATTGAAGCTGTGCGCGTCCCGCGGAGCTTTTAGCGGAAGAGGCTCGCTCCCGCCCTGCAGATCAAAAAAAAGTGTTCGCGACGCGCATCTTCCCTTACCAAACCCGCACCAGGCAGCGCCTCCCTGCATGGAGGGTGGGCGGTTTTCAAAATCAGACTCTCGCCTTGGCGCCGCGCACGCTCGTTGTAAACATCCCCAATAGCTACATGGGTGGAGGTTGAACCGATCTCAAAATCTTCGCGCGCGTTCGTCGTGAGCATCCCGCGCCGCGCCTATTCACTCCTCAGAGCCGCGCACATTCGTTTGGACGGTGTCCAACAGTGCCTTGTTGGAGGCTAGTATTTCCCCAATCAGAGCTTGCCTCTGTAGGGGTCTTAGCGGATTTAAGGGTAGGTGAGGTGTGCCGCCGATTCGGTGGCCAGGCCCGGGTGCCCGGGTGCCCGGGTGCCCGGGTTTGCCGCCGATTCGGTGGCCGGGCCCGGGTGCCCGGGTGCCCGGGTGCCCGGGTGCCCGGGTTCGCCGCCGATTCGGTGGCCGGGCCCGGGTGCCCAGATGCCCGGGTGCCCGGGTGCCCGGGTGACGGGTGCCCGGTGCCCGGGTGGGTGCCCGGGTGCCGGGTGCCGGGTGCCCGGTGCCCTGTAGCCATATAGCCTTATAGCCCTATATCTTTATCGCCCTATAGCCTTATAGTCTTATGGGCCTATAACCCTATAGCCCTATAGCTTATACCCTATAACCCAATAGCGCTGTAGCTCTATTACCATATAGTCCATTAGCCCTATCGCCCATACAGCCCTCTAGCCTCACAGCCTTAAACAGATTATGATTTGGGTTTTTCTCTGGTATCATTTGGTAAATTCTGGCTCTCGCTTGATGAGCGCCGCGCACGTTCGTTGTAAACATCCCCTGCATATGCAGAGATCGATGGCGTGTCCTTTTTAAACCGAGCTCTCGCCCAGCAGTTCCCTACATTCCGTGATCCAGAAGCGGGGGCTTTCCAACAGTCGTGGAGATGGAGGGCGGTCCTCTTTCGAAACCTGGCCCTCCTTGCAGGCTTCACGTGCTTCAGTGTGCGGTGATGTACTGCAGCTTCCTGTTAACGTCGTGCTCTCCCCTCCGTCGCCGCGTCACAGCGCAACACAACAACTCACGATCTCACAGCTGTGATGTAGATCTCTCTTGTTTTGCAGGTCCGCCCTGTTCCATCCCAAGATGGCTTGCGCTGTCTTGCAGGCTCGCTCGCTCTTTGTGTGGTACTTCCATTTCGT